GAAAGCCCAAAGCCTAGGTGGGGAAGCATGGCAGCTTCGACTTGGGCCAAGGCTGTGCGTGCAAGGAGTGCATCCAGCTACCGGGCTCCTTTGAGATTGGGGTTTGGGGTTGAGGGACAAAGGTTTGGGGTTAAGGGATTACGGATGAGGGTTTAGTGATTCCGGTTTCTTGTCAAGAAACTTAATGAAACCTATATAACATGTATATATATATACGTACATACATATATATATATTATGTTTTCGGGTTCAGGGGGTTCCTCAACGAATTGATAATGGCACTTAGGGGCGTAAGGCATGGGTGCCACGTCAGCAGTACCATCATGCCCTCTCCGACAGAGTGCTCTAGAGGGGAACCAAGATTATGATTGCTTCCCCAAGCCCTATAAACCTTAAATTCTAAATCCTAAACCCTTAAAGCCCTAAACCCGAAGCCCTGAACCCTAAGCCCTACACCTGATTGAATCGAGCTGCCTCACAGAAAGCCCAGGCTACGCGGCTCCCACTCAAAGGCCTCCGCCGTGCCCGAGGATGACTTGTGTTGAGTGGGGTTTGGGGCCTTTGTATTATGGGGGGCATGATAATATTACTACTACAAATAATAATTTAGCAATAACAATAACAGCAACAATGATAATGAGAATCGGGTTTTGGGGGGTAAACTGAGGAGCCCCCAAAATAGTATCGGTAATTGTTTAGGCCCCTACATCCGGGGTTCAGGGGTTGAGGGTCAGGGTTTAGCGGCTTAGGGCCTTGAGGGTTTAGGGGTTTACGGTTTTAGGGGTTTAGGGGTTTCGGACTTCACGTTTGGAGGGTTTAGTTGGAGGGTTTAGCGGTTTCGGGTTTTGAGGATTGGGGGTGTGGGGGTTTGGGTCTTTTTCAGGTTTGGGAGTTTTGGTTTCTGGGTTCAGGGCTTAGGGGCCAGGACGATCACCGGAACAAGCAGGATCTTCGAACTTCGACTTCCTAGAATCCCCCCTTGTGCACATGCTTTGCCCCAAGTAGAAGATGCTTCGGATTCTCGGAAAACAAGGGACCTAAGATACAAAATTTGATAGCAGGATCCCTCGTCGAGGGTAACAAACCATCCTAAACCCCTAAACCCTTGCGCGGAGGACAATGCCATGAAGTTTCAGGCCGATTTCTTCGCATTGCTCTCTGAGAACTCCAGGGAGTGGGAAGGCCCGAAAGCATGCCGTGGGGGGTGTTTACGGTTAACCTTGAGGTCCTGTAAATTCATCTTTTCGCGTCTGTAGGGGTTACTTAGGGTTGTGATCGTAGCATTCTTTCGCGACATGAAACCTTAAGCTGAAACTCGAAGGTTTAATCCTCACATGGTACTGGTATGTGATGGGCTTCGGAAGGAGATGTAGCGAGCGCCTGTGGGGTAATGTTACCGGATAGTGGAAACCCGGAGCAGGTGCGACGGTGCCTGGGAGCAATCTCGCTTACTGTCAGTGCGGATCTGATGCATCGGGTTCCGCTTGCCGCAGTTGCGCGAGGCGGGGCTTTCGAGTTTCGGATCCATCGTGATGCTACTAGCAGCTCCCGTCATCGTTATACCTATGACTATTGCATGCCGCTGCTATCCTACATCCTTAAAGATTAAGCACTTTGCAAACCCTCAACCCAGACATAAAACATCCCTAAACCTTGAACCCAACCCCCTAAGCCCTAAACCGCACTGTGCATAGCACGAGCTCGGAGTATTCGGGTGATTTCGCAACTCGTTTGCTCGGCTTGCACAACTGCCTGCAGCTTTCGCTACGAAAGCCAGGACTCAGCTCGAGTGAAGTTAGCGAATTGAGAGATTCTGGATTAAGGACTTCAGGGCGCTTTTGGGGTTGTCGTCTTCGGGGTTTAATGATGGCTGTTGTGTGAACGGTAAACCAAAAAAAGCCTCCCCGACCCGCCAAGCCCCAAACTCTGTCCGTGGCAATGCTCAGGGAGACGCCGACGGCAAAATCCGGCACGAGCTGCTGTGCAAACTGCCGCTGTGGCGTGAAGTGCCTGAAGTACAGGCTGTGTCTTGGATCTACAGAGTTCAGGTTTCTCTGTAAGGGGTGAGGGGGCGGGTGTTGCTTGGAACATATTAGGGGGTACGTTAAAGCTTAAACCCTCGATTTTTCAACAAGGGTTTAGGGATTTTTAGGGTTTAGGAAGTTCCAGGGTTCGGCTCTTCAGGAATATCCGGTTTAGGGAATTTAGGAATACAAGCTGTCTTGGAGCTACGGAGTAGTGCTTGGGCTGAGCTGGGGCCTTGAGTTTCAGGATCTAGAGGTTCAGGGAAGTCCTCTTTGGGTTCAGGGCTGTTTTGTGGCTTTTTGTTTTCGGGTTGAGGGGCCCGTTCTGTGCGTACGATGTTGTGTTTTAGGGTTTTGGATACCTTCAACATCCTTCAACCTATCATCCACGAGCTTACACAACTCCGAGCCGCTTGCCCAAGCCCAAGCGTGAGTTTGAGTTCTCTCCCGTTCTCTTGTGGGGATCTGGGCTTTGGGGCTTATAAGGTTGAAGTATGGCTCCGGGTACGGATCTGGGACCGAGGTGGGGCGTGCGAGGAGCCGCCGGCTGGTGTGTGGAAAGGGCATGCAAGCCTTGCCGCTGAGATGTGACGAACACGGGCTCTCTACCAAAGTGTAGGAAGAATCTTGTAGTAGTGCGGGCCCTTGATTGTTAAATCATCAGGGGTCTACATTACCATGCACTCCTCATGGCACAGCGGGTCCGAGTGGACGGAGCTGCATTCGGCACGCGCAATCCCAGGCAGAAGCGCTCTTGTCCTGAGCCGCATAGTTTTGTTTCGCTCGGTTTTCAGCGCTCTGTACCTGGGTTGCGCATACAGCGAGGTGCTACAATTTTGATATGCCATGTTAGGAGCAAGTGAGTATGCACCAGCCATGCTCACCTAACCAGACCTTGAAGCATGCAAACACGGGCACTGCCAAACCTCTCCGGGGGGGGCAGTTCAAAGGCCCTCGGAGGCGCGAGGCTCTGGGTGGAGGCTGGGTCGATGTGGGATTTTGTTTCCATAAGGTTCCACACGGTGCCAGCACAGACTCGCAAAAATGACGTCACCTTTCTCTCAGACCCCGGATATTTTCTTATTCCCAGGGTGGTGAGCCCGGGGGGGGGGGGTTGCCGGGCTCGGGAGCGGGGCCCGACCGAGGGTGGGGGTGGGCAAAAGTTCAGCTTCAAACACGGCAAAAGTTCAAACGCGCTCATTTCGGGGTTTTCAGGCCGCGAGCTCGAAATGCGACGTGTGAACTTTCCCAGCGCCCAAGCCCCTCCCCGAGCCTGGAAAAGTTCAAACGCGCTCATTTTGGAGTTTTCAGGCCGCGAAAAGCTCGAAATGCGCGCGTTTGAACTTTCCCAGAGCCCAAGCGCTTCCCCGAGCCTGGAAAAGTTCAAACGCGCTCATTTTGGAGTTTTCAGGCCGCGAGCTCAAAATGCGCGCGTTTGAACTTTCCCAGTGCCCAAGCGCTTCCCCGAGCCTGGAAAAGTTCAAATGCGCTCATTTCGGGGTTTGCAGGCCGCGAAAAGCTCGAAATGCGCGCGTTTGAACTTTCGCCCCGCCCAAGCCCTTCCCCGAGCCTGGAAAAGTTCAACCGTGCTAATTTTGTAGACGTTTCGTTCGTTTCGTCTCGGCCAGCGTTGCGTTCCGTGTCGAGTCTTCATGCGTTTCGATTCGCGTTTCCCGTTTCGTTTCGCGGCCACCCCAGATTTTAGGACCCTGGATAGGAAATCCCACAAAGCCAGGGTCTCATTTTTTGTTCCCAACGATTTCTTAGTGAATGCGCTAACCGCTAACCGCGTAAACCCTGCACCAACCAAGCTGCAGCTCTAAAGCCTCCTTGCGAAAGCCGGAATCATCATGGGCATGCAAGGACGTCACCTAAATTCACAGGGTAGGGTCACACAAAGGTTTGATCAGTGCGTAAAAATACCTTGTACAGTCCTTATATAGTATTATAGTGATTCACAAAAATATTCTAATTGCTAGGGTCCCTACCTCATCTCTGACCCGAGAGCCCATTACTCCTTGACGAAGAGATGTACCTGATGTTGACATTGATTGGGCTTTGATATGATGATTCCAGGATTTTGGAGGGCTATCATTTGGTTCAGCCTTAGTGGGCTTTCTCAAGAAACGCATGACCTGTCTCGCCGGAAGTTTGTGGCCACAAACCAGCCCACTTTGTCCTTGCCCTCGCGCAGCCGAGCTCATGGCATTCCGCACCTTGGCCGTCATCCTCGTGTTCGCCCATGCTGTTCACGCGGAGAACGTAACCTCGCCGACAGAAAACATGACAAAAGGACAGGCAAGGCTGTCAAAGTTGAACCTCGTAGTGACCGGGGGCCTCAAAGCCTAAAACTAAAGCCTGATGGCCGAAACATCCCCGCAGCCTAAGACCTAAACCCGATTGCCTACTGCCTCCAGCTTAGAGCCTTTCCACAGGTCAGCCAAGAAGGTGCATGGAGCAACTTCCTTTACTGTGATTGTGGCTTCAGCTGCCAACACAATGTGGCCAGGGAGCATTTTCTCTGTTCAGAGCTTTTTCCTTACTCCCTTGAAGTTCTGTTCGACTCCTTAACTCCGAAATCCCAAAAATCTCCCCAGGCCCCAAAGCCTGAACACCAAACCCCGAAACCCGAAACACCTGTGAACCCGAAGCCCGAAAGCCCAAAGCCTAGGTGGGGAAGCATGGCAGCTTCGACTTGGGCCAAGGCTGTGCGTGCAAGGACTGCGTCCAGCTACCGGGCTCCTTTGAGATTGGGGTTTAGGGTTGAGGGACAAAGGTCTGGGGTTTAGGGATGACGGATGAGGGTTCAGTGATTCCGGTTTCTTGTCAAGGAACTTAATGATAACATGTTTAGATATATATATATACATATACATATACATATACATATACATATACATATACATATACATATACATATATATATATATATGTATACATATATATGGTAGCCCCCCCCCATGAACTCCCGACCCTCGTTTTGTATCGTAAAAA